GAAAGAAGCCACACTGGATTGTTCCATTTATAAGGCAAATCCAGAGACGCAAATAGTAGTATTTTCCAGGGGCTGAGAATACAGAGAATTGGGGAATGACTAATAATGGGTATGAGTTTCTTTTTGAGGTGATGCAAATATTCTCGAATTAGTGATGAAACTTTGAGAATATAATAAAATCTACTGACTTGCATAGTTTAAGAGTAAATTTTATAGTATATAAATTATATCTCAATGAAAAGGCATTTAAAATCTTTCAAACTTAGACACATACTATTTTTAATTAACCTTTTTGCAATTTTAGAAAGCACATGCATCATGTAAAGTATAAGTATACTGCTAATATTAAAAAAAATTAACTTGGATTTCCCTTAGAAAATAAGTTCAAATCAGAATCTGATTTATCTCCTTAATATACTGGATAGCTTAATAATCATTTTTACCTCTAAATCATATAGCTATCTCCTTTGCCACTAATAAATGTAAAGGGAATGATGGAGTTACAAAAAAAAAAAAAATCACCATTTTGTAGTCATCAAAGTGAAAATTGGTTGGGGGATGTGAGCTTAACAAGGAGCAGAATGTTTGCATGGTCTCAAAATGTACTCCCCATAGATTGCTTATTAGTTCAAAAAAATAGCAACTATTCAGTAGAGAAACCACACAACCTCCACTGGGTGACGAAAATTAAAATCCCCAATGAGAGGCAAGATGGACATCAGTACCTCCAGATGTGATTATCTTCAAAAGGACATAGCATCATTTATATGGAATTCAAAAATGCCAACACCATGTAATACAAAGAAAGGTTGAGAAACAGTTCCAGATTTTAAAAGGCTAAAAAGGTATGGCAACCAAAGGCAACATGTGATCCTAAATTAGATCCTATACATTAAAAAGTAAAAAGGCAAAAGGTAGGACATTATTGAGACAATGGACAAAACTGGGATGTGGACTGTACATTATGAAAAAGTATTGTATCAATGTTCAATTTTATATTGTATTCTGGTTATGTAAGAGAAAATCCCTGTTCTTAGAAAACACACTATTGAATATACACAACCTACATTCAAATTTTTTATTAATAATATAGAGATAATCATAAAGCAAATGAGGCAAAAAGCAAAAACACTGATAAATCTAGGTAAATGGTACATGGTATGATTCTTTTAACTTTTCTGAAACTTTAAGATCATTTCAAGATAGTAAGTTGTAAAGAAACGTTTTTAATGACTTCCTACTGCTCTTTAAGTAAAACCCAGTCTTTGCCACGGCCTTGTATATTCTATGCCCATGCCTACCTCTCCTGAGCCAATGTTCCTGCCTCACCCTCCCTAGAGCACTAAACTCCAGCCACTCTGCCTCCTGTTAGTTCCTCTCCTGTGCCAAGCTTCTAGGCACTTGCTTTTCCTACATCCAAAACACTCTTTCTGCACTCTTCATGTACCTGACTCCATGTCCTCCTTCAAAACATTCAATAGGAGAAACTGCAAAAACAATGCTTAAAAAGCTAGCTATTGAAATTTAAAATGGGACTACATTTTGAGATCTACAATCACAAACTAGTCTTTGTGCACTTAAATCAGTATTTATCTTGGACTTGCTCTTGTTTTTCTGTATTTGATGGCCCCAAGGGATGAATGTATTTGCCCTCAGTGATAAGGAAAAAAGTCAATATGAATTACAAAATGTCTCAGCCTTTAGGATACACATCTTTAAGTCCTTAAACTTAACTCTCCCTCCAAATAAACTACACACTACTATAAAAATACATGAACAAACACAAACACAGAGCACATAACTTTAATCTACTCAGAGTACAATCATCCATTACTGTTAGTCTAATTGCCCACTTCAGAGCACACCATCTGCCACAAACATTTAATATTCCCTTATTTCAGAAAGTACAGTTTGATGTTTATCAGACCAAACCTTCCCACAAATAGGGTTCTTACCATTTGATATTTGTGCATGTCAGCCACTGTCTGGCACATCAGAAAAATACACGAATTCTGGAACAAGCAGTTACTGCTCATGAATTCACAGCTATTTCCTCACTTTAGCTGAGGGAAGAGAGATCTTTAAAAGACTGCCATAATATGAATATGCAGAGAAAAAATTAAAAGCAAAAGCACATGATAAAATTTCAGGGGAATAAAAGGCATACTACAAAGCAAATAAGAAAATGAGCCTCTAATAATTTACAACTCATGAAAACTTAGTTATTCTTCCCTGCAACCAAATTACCAGCCAAATATTGATTCTCTGCCCCACTTTGTGCATGATCGATATTAGAAAATGTTTAAATAGGCCCAGCGCCATGGCTCACACCTGTAATCACAGCACTTTGGGAGGCCAAGGCAGGTGGAAGGCTTGAGCTCAGGAGTTCAAGATCAGCCTGGACAACATAGCAAAATCCCGTCTCTACAAAAAATAGAAAAATTAGCAAGGCGTGGTATCACACCTGTAGTCCCAGCTACTCAGGGGGCTGAGGTGGGAGGACAGCTTGAGCCTGGGAGGCAGAGATTGCAGTGAGTCCAGATTGTCTGGGTGGCAGAGACCCTGTCTCAAAAAAAAAAAAAGAAAAAGAAAATGTTTAAATAACTAAAATCTGTAACAGAAAAGGGGGGTCCTAGCTAAACAAAAATTCAGACCAAATAAAAGAGGGAGGAAAAAAAAAGTCTCAACCAAAGGCTTCTTCATAGTGGTATAAAAAAATGTTTGGTATAACTAGAAAGGGGCTTCTGAAATTCTTGAAAATAATATCTGCATTAGAGGTCACAAACTTGTTGCCCACAGATTGCAACTTGTGAGCAGATGTGTTTTGTCTTCCTACCCTACATTTTTAAAATTTTGAATTTGTTGTCAGGAGATTTCACATAAAACTTTACTTATATTGAAAGATCTGAATGTATGGCAACAATGAAGTCCCACTGCCTCATGGCAACAATTGGCCAGCATTTCTCCACCCTAACCTGCACACTGGAAATCACATGGGAAGCTTTTAAGAAAATACCAACACCTAAGGCCAACCCTTCAGTCTTTCTGGTTGTATAGAACCAGAAGCCCAGGCATCTATACATTTTAAAGTTCCTAAGAGGGCTCTAACGTGCACCCAGAGTTGAGACTCATGGGCCTAGAGTATTACACTTGGCATATGCTTTTCAGCTAATCACAGCAGCCAAAGGTAATGTACTATCCTTCCAGTTACCCCCATCCCCCACAAAAGTATTGAGAATTGCTGCCCTACATAAGTATCTACGCCTAATCTTGTTTAAGCCACAAAGCTCAAGAAAAGACTGCTTAGAAAGCAGTTAAGCAATATGAGCTATATTAGCTACACATGTTTCTAATCCAGTGTTTCTCAAAGCCTGGTCAGTAAACCACCTCCATTCAAATCCCGTGTTCAAAATGCAGAACTCTGGGCCATGTTCCAAATATTATGCACAGCAAATGAGTGTCAGTTTCTAAGAGGATGTTCAGAGTTCTCCTCCAATCCTCCTCTCACAACCACCCACCCACCATCTGACCATTATAAACACTAACATGTGTTGGAGCCATGAAATTTTTTCAATGAACTAATCAGTGATCTCTTATATTTTCTCTGTTGCATCCATAGTTGGCTTGCTCTCTTTGGACTGCTTTTCCTTTACAGTCACTGTTTGATTCTGGCTCTCGGCCCCTCTATTGTCCCTGACGGACACAGTAAGATAAACTTGGTGCCTTGGTACTTAGGAAAATACAGACTTCTTGCCACCCAAAAAGACAGAGAAAAGAAGGCATAGTTAAGCCACCCAAGATCCCCTCTAGTCTATCTCAAAAGGGGCCTTGAAGCTCACACACGGTGCCATCAAGCTTTCAGATGCTGAGGCAATAGTTCTCATGTGTAATCCACAAATGACCTATTTCCATATCACTGAGCAACTGGATAAACATGCCAATTCCTGAGTCTCCCACAAAACCTATTGAATGAGCAAGAATCACTGGCAAGTGGGACTGAGAAGCTGTACTTTTAACACACTGCCCCAGTGGTTCTTCTTATGCAAGACAAGTTTGAGAACCATTAAGCCCTAGGTACAATAAAAAAAAAAAAAAAACCCTCTCTAGAGCTTCTTCATAAAATTTAGAGCCACTGTCTAACACTTAGTTCTCTTATCTCTCCTTCTCTGTCCACTCTCATACTGATACAACTTACTCAGTTCAGCATAGAGCATTTAAAATGACCAAATATTCTGTTGTACTGTGATTCAAATTAATCAGCTATTAGGACAAAAAGAAGTAAAAAAATACGTAAGCCCCAACAGTATACTGGCACAGTGCTTAATACCATAAAAACGCAGATTAGCTGCATGCCCAGAAAGCTTACATGTATTTGTCATACCCCTTCTATTTTAAATTAATCCTACAAATTACCAGAAAACACCTCTCAGTGGAGTTCTAAGCTTCTCATATCCCTTTTATGCTTTCATACACAGCTCATCAGTTGCCTCTCTAAGGCTGGATGATACTGCTAACCAACATGTGGCAAAGAAGGCTCTAAAATAGCATGACAATTTTATGCTTGACTCAGGTAATCATAGCTCTCTGGAGAGAAATATGCTCTTCAGGTTCACCTCTCCTCTGTTTCTGCCATCCACAAACACCCTTGGAGGAACTTAAGGCTCTTATACACTCGATTACACTCTCCTGATTTATAGTGCCAAACGGCCATTCACATAAGGGCTCTCCATAAACATTACTGGATTATGCCAACTCAGGTGATTGATTCCATACCTCTTAATGTGCCACGTATCTAAAGACAAACCTATGTATCCAATTCTTTTCAGCTCCTCAAACTAGGCTTCCTATCCATACCTTGCACCTTTTGAAACAAGCCTGAAGTTAAATGAACCGACTATAGGAAAAAATGAATTAACAGGTCAAACATTATAAATAATTAGTCTAACAACTGCACACCTTTGTTTAAAAAAAAAAAAAAAAAAAACAGAAAAAAGTCTTACCTAATAGTATATATATTCTGAATATTCTTCTCCCCACCTTGTCCTTCCTTAAGAGCTTGCATTTGTAGTAATTTCATAATGGCTTTTATCAAGCCATGTGTATTTCTGTAAAGAAATATAACATGTTAAATGTTATAGATAGAAAGTGAATCTTCCAATCAGGTGCTTAATTGTATCGTTTTAAAACAGTTTTAATACTTGTCACCCACATTAAACAGTAGCCACCCACAGGCACCCAACTCATTCTACAGTACAGCCAAAACCCATCCAACACATTTAAAGAAGAAGAAATGGAGCCAAAGAATCAAACCACCAATATATCAATCAGCTGCCTACACCTTCTTGGGGGGAAAAAATCAATCAGGAAATAAACAAACATTAGCTCACATAATTTCAAGCAGTGACTACAATGGTTACCCACACCAAATGACCAAGTCTTTCATTTACAAATATCAGCAGAGCATGAAAAACAACCAAATACATGAAATGGATAAGCCACTCTAAAAAGTGGGCCAGGCAACCAATCAGAGCCAATAACCCATTAAAATAGAGCTAATAAAAAGGAAATAGCAATTTAAATTTTTTCCTTATTTTTGTAAAAAAGAAGAGGATAAACACATCAAAAAGAAAAATAGGCTGCACTTCTTAAATAAAGATCTCCCTGGCAAATAGAAAGTATTCGAAATAAAAAACTCCCTACCTGCTAAACTTAAAAAGTAATTTTTTTTTGAGACAGATTTTCACTCCTGTTGCCTAGGCTGGAGTACAATGGCAAGATCTCAGCTCATTGCAACATCCACCTCCTGGGTTCAAGCGATTCTCCTGCCTCAACCTCCCAAATAGATGGGATTACAGTAATATGCCACCATGTCTGACTAATTCTGTATTTTTAGTAGAGATGGGGTTTTGCCATGGTGGTCAGCGTGGTCTCAGACTCCTGACTTCATGTGATCTGCCTTCCTTGGCCATCCAAAGTGCTGGAATTATAGATATGAGCCTCTGTGCCCAGCCAAAGAGTAATTATTGCTTAATTATGCTTGTTAACATTTATTGAGAATTACCATAAGTTAAGCACTCTAATTTCTTGTATTATGTAATTTACTACCAGAACATGGTTGATTAAAAATCAATGTTAACTTTATTTTTAGTTTAGAACACTACTTGGACTTAATTAGGTATCATTTGTGGCATTTATGTGTGATGTTACTGAGTGTATTTTTCAACGGCATTTAAAGTTTTCCAACTGACAAAAGGTTTGGCCACTTAGTAGACCTGCACGGTTCAATATCGTAACAGCCACATATGGCTACTGAGCACTAGTAATACGCTTAGTCCAAATTAAGATGTTCTATTAAGTACAAAATACATGATCGACTTAAAAGACTTTAGAACACAAAAAATGAATATTAAATACCATGTATAATTTTTATATTGATTACATGTGAAATATTTTGATATACTGAGTTACATAAAATATATGATTAAAATTAACATCATCTATTTCTCGTTTTTTAGTGTGGCTACTGGAAAATTAGGAATTACATATATGGCTTGCATTTGTGGCTAAGGTTATATTTCTGTTTCACAGCACTACTGTGGACACTCAAATGGTTTAGTGTCTAAATGGATCCTTTGGGGAGTATTGAGGCATTTTTCACCATCTACAATGGTATGTTTTCTCTTCTATATGGATCCTCTTATGACAATGCAGTATAACTCATGGATGAATCTTTCATGACATATCACGTGTATGGTTTCTCTGTGTGAATATTCTGGTGAACACAGAAGTCCCAATACTTCATGAAGCCTTCTCCATAAATATTCTCTCTCCTGTGTGTGTTCTCCAGTGGATGTCAAACCAGGATTTAGTCTGCGCACATACTACACATTGGCACTGTGTCAATTCTATGATACTTTGGCCCACAAAATGGCCAGTGAATCCCACTGTGACTCAATGAAGATTAAAATGGAAATATTTTTATCAATTAGAATGATGTGTAATTGCCTTAAGAAGGTCTGACTGCATGGCATACCCTTGAGGACCTCCCTGAGTACTGACATACTGCCTTGCTTTCTTCCTTTGGAAATGCTCACATTCTTCTGAGAAACTTCTCTATGGCACTAAATTTCTAGAATCCTTATGCCAGAGCTAAGAAAGAAGATACCTCAGCATAAAAACTTTTAAAATAAACTCCTTTGCAATTCTTCACACCATTTACTTTTACAGAATCAGATCCTTTTTATAACTTAGAATGCTGGACTATAAGGACTGGTATCTCCTAGTATATCCTCCAGTTCTTGACAACTCTTCACAACGCTTCCTTTAGAAAGACCTGGAAATCCCTCAACATAAATGTTCTATCCCCAATTTATCAAAAACCTAAACCTAGGTATAAATGTCTGGTCTCAGTCAGAGGGCAGAGTTCACATAGCCTCCTTAGAAGTTCCATGGGATCTGACTCCTCCAAATATGTGATTTTTGTAAGCTAACTTACCAGGTCTCAGGGATGCATTCCTGCAGCTCTGACCCAGGCCAGTGCCAAGATGTTACATGAGACCGTGAAATATCATATCTCATCATCATTGAGTCATTCTGAGAATCCAGTATCTCACTAAGGCCTATTATAGGGAGTCTACTTTGATCTGTCCCAGTAAAAGAGTCACTGCATATTTAGAAGCATTCTTGTCTGCTGGCCTTCAATGTTTATACAAGTGAAAATCAGCTTTCTAGTCTGATTAAAGCTATTTATATACCACTGAAGAAAGGCCAGGCTTCACCTGGTAACCTCATAAGACCACACTCAGAGGCTAATGACTAGTTGAAATGACCAGTGTTGATTGAATTTCTGACTGATTTTCTTCCAAAAAATATGAATTCATTAAATAATCCTTTTTTGCATGTGAAACTATATTGGTTTTCCTTATTTGTCATATGACTAGAGTTCTAGAGATAACAGATAACAGATCTATGGGTTTTATGGTCTCCTACCTTTTTATCAAAGCAGTGGAACCCCAGAGAAAAGAACAGATGTCACATTTACTTTTAATTCCAAGGGATTCACAGAACCAATTTACACTCCCACCAATGGTGTAAAAGCATTCCTATTTGTTCACATCCTCTCCAGCATCTGTTGTCTCCAGATTTTTTAATGGTCGCCATTCTAACTGACATGAGATGGTATCTCAATGCTGTTTTAATTTGCATTTCTCTAATGACCAGTGATGATGAGCATGTTTTCATATTTATTGGCCACATAAATGTCTTCTTTTGAAAAGTGTCTTTTCATACCCTTTGCCCACTTTTTGATGGGGTTTTTTTCTTGTAAATCTGTTTAAGTTCCTTGTAGATTCTGGATATTAGCCCTTTGTCTTATGAGTAGATTGCAAAAAACTTTTTCCCATTCTGTTGGTTGCCAGTTCACTCTAATGATTGTTTCTTTTCTCTACAGAAGTTCTGAAGTTTAATTAGATCCCATCTATCTATTTTGGCTTTTGTTCCCATTGCTTTTGGTGTTTTAGTCATGAAGTCCTTGACTATGCCTATGTCCAGAATGGTATTGCCTAGGTTTTCTTCTGGAGTTTTTATGGTGCTAGACCTTATGTTTAAATCTTTAATCCATCTGCAGTTAATTTTTGTATAAAGTGTAAGGTATAAGGTCCAGTTTCAGCTTTCTGCACATGACTAGCCAGTTTCCCCAACACCATTTATTAAACAGGGAGTCCTTTCCCCATTGCTTGTTTTTGTCAGGTTTGTCAAAGATCAGATGGTTGTAGGTGTATGGTGGTGTTACTTCCGAGGCCTCTGTTCTGTTCCATTGGTCTATCTCTGTTTTGGTACCAATACCATGCTATTTTGATTACTGTAGCCTTGTAGTAAGTTGGAAGTCAAGTATCGTCAGGCTTCCAGCTTTGTTCTTTTTGCTTAGGATTGTCTTGGCTATGTAGGCTCTTTTTTGGTTCCATATGAAGTTTAAGGTGGTTTTTTCCAGTTCTGTGAAGAAGATCAATGGTAGCTTGATGGGGATAGCATTGAATCTATAAATTACTGTGGGCAGTATAGCCATTTTCATGACATTGATTCTTCCTAACTATGAGCATGGAATGTTTTTCCGTCTGTTTGTGTCCTCTCTTATTTCCTTGAGCAGTGGTTTGTAGTTTTCCTTGAAGAGGTCCTTCATGTCCTTTGTTAGTTGTGTTCCTAGGTATTTTATGTGTCTTAAATTTAATTGAAACTCTCTCTTAACCCAGTTGAAATAGATATTTATATTAATAATTATGCTTATTAATTATTATTTACATATTTCAAGTGGGTTGAGAGGGATAGTTTCAAGATAATATTTATTTAAACCCTTTCTTTAATTTGAATTAACTAGGGAATCTTGGGCAAGCCACTTACTGCCTAGGGATCTCAACATCCTTATCTATATAATCGAAAAACCATAATAAGCCCAACTCTTATGTTGTTTTAAAAAATAAAGAATAGTATCAGTAAATTACATTTTTTCAAACAACACAACAAAATGTTTTGATAATTCAAAACTTATACTATAACATGAAGATAATAATATTCTTCCCTCTTTATGGATGAGGCTGTGTAGGCACAGACATCAGGAGCAATGAATGCTGAAGCCTGGAATCTGCTTAAAACTACCACAAACTCACCCTAACTCCTAAAAGTCTCTAGTATTTTCCATCTCTTATCACAAAATGTGGTTTTCTTGTTTTCAAGCCTTTGTTACTTGAGATCTGTGATCTACTCCTACAAAATGAATTTTTTTATAATTCTGTACAGTTTGACAAAGAGGTTACGGTAACTTAAATGGCGCTAAAACTCAAAATAGTGAATTAGAAAATATAACCACTGGAGAAGCAAGTCAAAGAAAATTTCACTGGACTTAAGTCTTCAAATTGAGAAAGCTTCCAAGTACTAAGCGAGATTTCTGAAATAAAATAACTGCTGACATTTCTTAAAGGATAAAAAAAATCCAGTGACCTCTTAAATTTTATAAAACATAATAACTTATAAAAACAACTAGACTTGCTTCATTTCTAATCTGCAATCAGCATTCTCGTCTACAAATAACAAAACAGAATGAAGCAATGCA